TAAAAATGTTTTTAATTCATTATTTTTTACCTTTAGAATTATCTTTCCGCGTAGCATTAAAAAATTTCTTCGAATTTTTATTTTGACTGGCGGACCTCCTTACAGGAATTCCAAGGAATCCCGGTGTTGAGAACACAATTTCAAGATCGTTGAACTACAGAATAAATCTAATTTCTTTTCCGATTAATTAATTAATTTGTATTTTTATTTATTTATTTATTTAACGTCACGTAAATTCATGAGTAAACGCATTCGTGTTCAGTCTCTCAGTTTGGTTACGATATTGCTATTGAAGTAACTGGTTACTTTATCTGGGTGGATATTGATTTGATTTTGTTTGATTATGGCGAAGCACTGGAAGGCAGTCTGCTTAAAGTGAGGGATGCCTTTGTAAACGACTTTGTATGGGAAACTGGCTCGTTTACACGTTATACACGAGGGAAAAACACGAAAACACAGCTAGCCCGTTCGCAGAAATTCGAGGCCCACCAGCGGCCGAGCGGTAAAGTCGCTGAACACTGGTAGTTCGGTCCGAGGTTCGAATCCCACGAACGGGCTGGCTGCATGGGCGTTTTCGTGGTTTTCCCCATGTGTAACGTGTATACGGGCCAGTTTCCCTTAGAAAGTCCTCCACGAAGGCATCCCTCATCTTAGGCAGATAGCCCTCGAGGCTTTGCCTTAATCACACACACACACACACACACAACGCAGAAATTCGAACCCCGGCCGAACTATCAGTGTTTAGCGCTTTACCTCTGGGCAGCTAGTAGACCTTTATTTTTGTGAAAATGGGAAGTTTTGGCAAGTAACTTTATTTTCACTGAAGAGCTCCATATCCAGTTGTACGCTAATTATCAATTTACTATTAAAATAAGTCGTCTGAGTACTTTTTGCCTATCGTATAAGAATATTTGAAATGATATTAAGATGCTGACTATTTAAAATCGTCTGATAAAGTCCGCGTTTGAAATTTATTAATAATTGAAAGAAATAACAAATAATATTTTTCTAGTTCAGATTTTATTTATTTTTTTCATAACTTTTTATTTTGAATTTTAAAAAAAATGGAGGGAAAAGTTATGATTAAAAAATAATCTACCGTCTTTAAACTTATCTAAGCATTATTCATCAAAGACAGAAATGTGTGCTGCAATATATCGAATAATATTTAAAATGCAGTTTCCTTTATGTTTTTATGAAGTCCACCAAACATATATTTACAGTACTTGAAGGGTCAGATACCTTTAAATAATTCAAAAATTGATTTTTTGTGGATTTTTTATTAAATTTGATTTCTTGTAAGTATTTTAAACCAAATCCCATGTAAGAATTGGCTGTACAACCACAATTATGGTAAAAAATAATTCTAAACGTATGCCATTTAAAGAAACAATTATTTGTTTGCGTTGCATTTCAGCAAATTCCTCACTTTAAATCCTTGGAGCTATACATAAATATTTCTGTACAGAGTTTTATAACAAACATATAATTAACCTATATATCTATTAATTTTAAGAAAGAAATGTGCTTATAGTTCAAAGTAATTTTCTTTTCTAATTAAGATTTCGTAAAAAAAAAAAAAGTTATTTCCTGCTTACGCGCATGATTCCTTTGAATAAACTGATTACAGTTTCAAGATATTTGACTAAATATGTAAATCTGCATCTGCGTCTGCATCTGGCCATTTGCTATACATCTAACATATGAACTTTTGGGAGTATAATTTTGAAAGCATACGAAAATTTTGATACATTACTTTTTAGCCCAAAGGGGCGTAGTCTCGAAACGGCATTTTGCTTCGAATCACTTCTTAAATTGTAGCCACCAAATGTTATTGCGCTGTATTATATTTAAAGAAATTAAGTAATGAAGAATCTACATGAATGTACGTGTGTTTCTCGCATTGTGAAGAAACAACGGTACTTAGAGCCATCAAATTATGAATAACGTAATCCTCCACCGAGTATGGGCATCTGGAAGCCCTAATTTGGAGTTCATTATCTATTTCTTTTATTTATTATATATTTCATATTTTGTAAAATTTAACAAATTTTTGATTAACAGACTCAACGATTTCAAAGCAAGCAATGGTAACATTGTACGGAAAATAATATTTTTACCTCCAGCGTGCGAGACTCTCTATCGGAAATTCTAAAAGTATGATGCTTTTAAATATTTAGTGATACTGTTCTTGAATTGAATTTTATGTGGTTTAAATGCGAAGAACACGTAATTTAATAAATAAAGCTAACACACCAAACTTTAAAAAAAACGCCACTTTGGGAGTGATATTAAAATTTCAGATTTTATTTATCAATTTGTTATTTATTTATTTTATATTTTGTACAAACTTAATGAACTTTTATTAACAGATTCAACGATTTGAAAGCAATAGCTTCCCACTCGTTAAAATATTTGTAAAATGTTTGTCTTTCAAATATACGCGATGATCACAAAAGAACAACCCTAGTGGCCTAGCTCCTCAGCCAATCGAAGTAAAATTTAAAAAATTGTTATTTGAAAGTGTGAGCTAGAGACTGATGATTCGACATAATAGAGCTTTCACGGTTACGGTTACAGAGAAAAATTCAAATTTTAGAATGGCAACATCCACCACTTCTTTTTTTACCTTCCCCGCAAATTGATCAGGGACCTGAGATATATATGATGTTCGAACAATACAAACGTAAAGCTTTTGCAAAGAAGAGCGTTGTAATGGATCAAAGACAATATAGCAGAGGAGAAGGTAAAAAAAAAAAAAAAAAAAAAAAAAAAAAAAAAAAAAACTTATCGGAATTACAAAAGTTTTCAGCGTGCACAAAGTATCAAGATAGAGTATCTTCGCTAACTTTGCAACCGTTATTCCCTGACCTCACTTCGGTGGATTTCTGGTTCTGATTTTATTTGAAATCTAAGATGTGATCCAATCCACGAGATAGTTCAAAATTTTAAGATACCTTAAAAAGTGAAATTATACATATTTATCCTGCGATGTTTCGTTCGTCATTGTTATTAAAAACCTGTAATTTCAATATTTCTTTTTTCGCCTGTCCTTCCTTGTGTTATCATTGGCCCTTCAGAATGCTGTTTTGGCAAATATTTTGCGCCGGCAGTTTTCATCATTAAGTGTACCGTTCCACCACCATTTATGTTTTTTCAATGCTCTGATCAATCTACGCAGGAAAAAGTGGGTATCCCGTTTCGAAAATATTGAAATTTTTCACTGTAACCGAAAGGTTACAGTGGGGGAGGATTTACAGTGAGGGAGTTACCCTAATTGATTATTTGTTTTTAATCATCCCAATCTCGAGCGCATACCCTCAAATAACAATATCCAGAATTTCAATTCGATTGGCTGAGTGGATAAGCAACTAGGGTATCGGGGAAATTTTTATGACCACCCAGTATATGAGAACACATGGTATTCTGAAATTTCTAGAAGTAGCCCTCTCTACTCTGTTGCGAATAGCTAAACTCATGTGTCAAAACGGGCAGTGGGATGTTCGTGAAGAATATTTAAATTTTCGCTTGAAAATGACGATGGAACGTATTACGATGGCTCTAATTCTTTACAAAAGAAGAGTATCAGCTTTAATGATGAGTTCTTGAATTTTAACTGAAATTACAGTGCTTCGATAATATATATTATAAAAAAAAACCGTGAGCAATTTTGGAAAAGAATTTTTTTAACGGCTTCGATTTTCAAATCAGTACTCAAATATAATAAAGAAAGTCAGCAATTTAAAAGAAATACGCTGCTTCAAAATAAAATATATTTGCGTTATTTTTATCATTCGACAAAGCGAAAGAGATTTAATTTTTCTTTTAAATTTAATTTGTCTATTAGTGATTTACAAATGAAGTGATTTAAAAGCAATAAACTTAGACCGTCTTTATTTTTGTTGAGTGCATACGAGTTCGTACTACATTGAATCCACACAGAACCGATGATGGGTTGATAACTTAATTTTACTAAAAGAAGGTCATTGCAGTTCTGGAACGTTCTACAGAAATACTCGTAAAACTCTTTGCAGTATCACAGAGTACAATGAGTAGTTACACTTTAAACTAATAGGAACGTTAAACACAACAGAATGAAAAGCTCTTTTAAAAGGCGAATTCTGCTTCTCGAAATTACTGGAAGGCAGGATACGGTTACAGTGAAGAGGATCAAATATAGTTATTCAGTTACAATACAGGGACCGTACCAAAAGATCGCCAAGTTCGGCGACTTTTGGCAATTTCTCGCCAAGTTTGGTGACAATAAACAATCGCCAAAAACATTGCCAGCTTGGCGATATCTTGCCAAATTAACCAGATTGCTCAATGTTAAATAGACTTCCTCCTGTATTCTTACATTTCCCGCAAATCTTCGCTTCTTTAGATTTTTCATGTTACATCATACCAAAAAGTACTACAATTTTACATATACTTCCACTAAAAGTATTTACATACGCACAAAATCAGTACCATTATTAATAATTTACCCATGAATTGATTCTAGTTGGACTCGTTAAAATCGTTAAATCATAGCTAGTCGTGGCAGAATGTATTTTACAAGTGTAACCAATCCCTAATTATTTTATTTCTGTTAAAATAACAGCTAGTGAATAACTCTTATAATTCTATGAATTCTTTTCTACACACAGTTAGCTCTTCTTAAAAATTTCGCACACTTATTTGGGTGTGTTTAAACAAATTTATAAAAACATCGCAAGCTTCATAATCTAAGGTTAATTCTCTTACAATTACCTCAAGAGCTAATTTTATTTGGTTTTGTTTTGTTTTTATTTGCCAAGAAAACATGCATAGAATCCCAATCCTTTCTCACTTCAACAACACATTTTATATCCTTGCCCACAATCGCTGTTATTCCGTTTTCTTTATCGTCAATTTAATACACGTGCTGACTGACGAAACAACGAAATCGTAGACAATCCAAGGAAACAATCACACTTTTTCTTTAGGCGCAACAGCAATAAAGTACCGCTAGTTAAGCGCAAAGAATACGTATGCACAGTCTAGCGACGCGGCGAGAAAAGATTCTTTCAAAAAATAAGTCTACATCTGTCGCAACACGAGAGCAGACTCTGATTGCTTTTCTCCGCAAAATTCGAAACCAAGTCCTGTTTTTAATTCTCTCCCTTCTGAGGAGATAATATTCTTTTCTATAAAGAAGAATGTTCTATACTTATATAGTGTTTCCTTTGTTATATTCTGTGAATTGTTCAGTGTGTGGCAGCAGATTTTAGCAACACAGTTAACCAAAAAGTAAGATGAATTTTTAATTTCCATTTTCCTGGATTAATATCTACAATATGTTATTTCATGTTGTGTTTACTTAACTGCCTCTGTTATTTCAATTAAAAATATATCTCAATTAATATTCACGTTGATTTCTATTAAATTTTCTACGTACTTTCAACAATGTTTCATTAAATGATTGTAAGGGAAAAGTAATATGTTTTCTCTAATATGAGATAGTATTTCTTTTTAAGTTAATTTATTGCTTATTCTTAAGTTTTTAGATAAAAGAACAATATTTATTTAATTTCACCTCAAAGAATGGTATTTTGTATTTTAATTCACTTTATCTTTTGTTATTATTTAGTTATGGGCTTAATTCCCTTAATTTATCTTGTCCACCAGCGGCCGAGAGGTAAAACTGCTGAACACTGATAGTTCGGTTCTGGGTTCGATTCTAGGCGAATGGGCTGGCTGCATGGGCGTTTACGTGATTTTCTCCATGCGTAAGGTGTATAAAAGCTAATTTCCCTTAGAAAGTCCCCCACGAAGGCATCCCTCCTCTTAGGCTACACAGCCATAGCCAACCAAACCCTCAATTTATCACATCGTGTATGTCATATTGCACGGCGGTTTTATCTTTGTGAAATGTCATCAAAATGCCATTTCAGCCTGCATATGAAATAATTTACATTCGCCGAAACGGATTTATAAATTATGTTCATGTCATACATGGAAATTATTTATATAATATGAATAAGATAAATATGGAATTCTTACATGTCCCGCAATTTAAATATTTATTGATAAATATAACCTAATGTTGTGCTGGTAATGTAAACAAAGCTTTTAAAATGTACTTTGGATGGCTGTTTCTCTTCGAAGAATTTTTAACTAAGCCTAATACGCAGAATCCTATAAAGACTGAATGAAGTACGAGCGATAACATTCTTTCGCAAATCCTTATTTGCAAAAGATATAAATAGGATTATGAGAACTATAAGGTATTTCTCCCGCCTTCTTAGAATGCTCTTGTGGTGTAATGGTCAGCACACTCGGCGCGTATTCGAGAGGCCCGAGTTCGAGTCCCGGAGAGGGCATTGCCCATTTCTTCAGTTTCCTGACATCAAAATAACTTAATGTCTCTACAGAACTTAATAAATTCTCTGTACTCAAAATCACAATCTACAATCTGGATTGTGCTTCCTACAATCTGGAGGACTAAGCCTAACATGCATCGACTACATTCCAAGTCAGAAACAAAGACAGTGTTTTAGGAAAGCTTTCAGTTATTAGCGAGTCCATGGGGAGATCTCTCTTGTCTGATTTCAAAGCAAGCTCACGAAATTCATGGTGGCAAGGAGACAATATTGCGCCTGTCGTTGGCTTGAGCACCAATACAGGTGAAAATACGACTTTGCTAGGTTCCGTCCCCAATTTTGAAGAAGAGCACCCCCCCGGGGCACGGGTCCGAGGTCCTCCCATCCTTATCCCGCTACTATCAACCTCTCGAGAGGGCTTTCCGTTCTGCTTAGAATGTCCCATGCCGCACAGACACTATACATTCACAAACATTCATTCCTTCTGCGGGGTTCGAATCCGGGTCCTTCAGTACGGCCTTCAGTCAGTTATTAACCATTATGTCGGTTGGGTGACTTCTCTTACATTGTGTGATTACTTAAGTACTTCACGTATTCCTTCACTCATGTTTTCATCTCCCCTAAATTTATATTTTCGAAATTTTAAATATTTAAATATTAATTGAAAATTATTTGTAACAATATGTCCTTGAATGAATTTTGCAGAAAATGAGCAGAGGTATTCCTTTCATAAAGTAAGAAAATTGCACAAATTAGCAAAACACAACTCTTTAAGTTAAAACGCAATTCAGCTAACTCTGTTTGAACCGCAGGCTTTCTGAACTGACACATCCTCGAAGATCGGAATTCATTAGTAGAGACTGCGGCTTTTTTGAAACCTTTCCTCCCATAATTCTCGTAGCACCTATGGTAATCAGAAGTAATAAAACGTAGAACCCACGGTGACTCTTAGACCTGTGGTATATGTAATTGGGAAAAAGAAAAAAGCTGCTTCATATAAGTCCAGTCTTCATGAGCGATGCCCGAACTCACTATTTTGCGTAGCGTGCAACCTGGCGCTCTATAACTCAGTTGTTCCTTGACGTATTAAGATGGGAGATTAATCTTCTGGTTCCGGTTGGTTGGGTTTATTTAATCACAGCAAAGCCCCGAGGGCTATCTGCCTAAGGGAAGGGATGCCATCGTGGAGGACTTTCTAAGGGAAATGGCTCGTATACACGTAACATACGGGGAAAACCACGGAAACGCCCATGCAGCCAGCCCGTTCGCTGATTCGAACCTGTGACCGAACTACAAGTGTTCAGCTGGAACATTAACAGTTACAGTTAACGGTTAACAGCTTGGCCGCTGGTGGGGCCTTCTGGTTCCGAAAAGGATAACAGAATCTAGATAGCTTGAAAAACCTATAATTAATTTTTCTGCAGGAATTTCAACATTCTTGAGTTGGGTGATGATTTAACATGATTATATTTTCAAAGAATTTCATGAGGTCATGAAAAATTTCAAATATTGTGTTAGAACCATTTTTACAAGTTTCTAAATTCTTTTTCAGCATTTCACTGTAGTTGGTACTTTCAGGTTTGGAATGTTCAGCAGTTTTTGAATTGGTGATAACAGCGAAATTTTCTTTAGTTATACTAAGGCTGGATTTTTATTGGTCTTACAGTTTCTGATAACCTCTTTTGATATTCACAATAACCTCGGATAACATTTGGAACTCCTGTGATTTTTTTCAATATTTGCTCATTAAAACTTCTATCTTGGGTGCATTCGAACTACTGCATTTATAGCCCTGGGTCGGACATTTGTTTTCTTTTGGAATGGTTCGATAAGCACATCATAACTGAAGATGTTATTTAGGCTAAGATTTTCCTTCTTTAGATCGGGAGAGTTCAATAAAAAAGAAACAGACAATTTGATTATGGAATCATCAAATTTACCTTTTACTGCTTGATTTTGAGTACAGAGAATTTTCTGGCAGTAAATGCTTTGGAATAGTTTCTTCTTCAGAAATAAGAGTACTGTAAATTATCTGTAACTAGTTTAATGACTTTTTCGCTGCCGAAACGTGTGGAAATTAATTTTATTTCGCTTTACGAAATTTGCGATGTTTCTGCAATCATCTGTTATTTTCGTGTGAAGAAAGATACATCTGTTCATCACCTGAGCTTCATATTCTTCTTTGAGCAATTCGCTTCATCTGCTAATTTCGTATGAAGAAAGATACATCTGTTTATCTTCTGAGCTTCATATTCTTCTTTGAGTGATTCGCTTTATCTGTTTCGTGCGAATAAAGATATATCTGTTCATCATCTGAGCTTCATATTCTTCTTTGAGCAATTCACTTAAGGTTTTGTGAAATGATTATAATAAGTGGTACCTTATTACTCCTTGTGAGAAGTAAAAGGATTATTGTAATCACAAAAAATTTCGGGTATCATATTTCAACGAACATATCCATTTCAACCATTCTCGAAATCATTTGAACGATGTTTTTGCGTGTCATCTGTATGTACGTATAGAATAAAGGACTGTTTTTAACAAAAAAAACATTGTGAAATGCACTTAAAATGGTTTCAGAAGAGATTGTTTTTCTTGACGTTCGTACGTACGTACGTATGTATGTATCTCGCATAACTCAAGAACGAGTAGCCGTAGAACGTTGAAATTTTGTATATGGGACTACTATAACATGCAGATACGTAATGTAATACTCACGGAGGAGAACGAGAGAGTAGTCAGAATGTGGCCGTTATTACGGAGCAATGCCAACTTCCGAAACGTGCTGACTCATTCTGAGCCTCCGAGCCGTATTTATTGTTGCAGTGACTTCTAGAAACCTTGAGAAAAATCGCGCGCGTTTAGGGCTTTGAAAATATGATTTTTTAAAAATCGTCAGGCTTGCAAAAAATCGCAGGTATTTAAGGTTCTACTTGTGTTATTTTCACAATTTAAACGTTGCATTTACACAATTTAAACATTTTGCTCTTATTTTGTCAAATTTTGTTGCTGTCTGCGTATTGTTCCCCAGTGACTGAGTGATTAAGATTGCTAGATGTTGGACCTGTGTTCTATACCAGGAGAACGAGTTGAGTTTTTGCGCTTTCTCCATACGTAAAGTGAAAATGAGTTAGCTTTCCTCAGAAAGCCAGCCCTTCACTCCTTTCCAAGCGATATAGTTCTCGTATGTTTTGTATATTCTAATAACTTAACTTGTCTCTGTATTTGATCTATGTCTTATCTGTATTCTATCTGCTAAGGCCAAGTTCCTAAGAGCTTTGATCTTTCGCGGCAATAGAAATTTAAAAAAATTAACTACGTGTTAACTGGAATGAGATATTAAAATTTTTTTCAAGAATTTCGTATTTACGTTTCTACGTCGCGTTTTTTACTGTTGCAAGACAAATCAACGGAAACGCCGCCAAAGGGGGTGTCCTTAACGAGTTTTTTTTTTTTTTTTTTTTTTTTCCACTTTCACCAGCCATACCGTAGATACTGGGGTTCGTTTCCAAGAAAACAGAAAGTTCTATAAGGACACACACATGTTATATTGTTACAGTAAGTTCCAGCTGACGATATACGATAGACTACACATTTCTATTTTAATGACTACCTAAAAACGAAAAATGTTCTTCAATGTTCAGTGAAATTTTTGTTTTAAGTTTTGTATCAATGAATTTTATGAATTCAATATGGACTAGTGTATTTTTGTGAGAATTTGTTATCATTCTGGGTGTTTATTCTTTTAATATAAGATTTCGTGCTTTGTCATTGTTGAATTTGGTTGCAGGTGTACAGCATGAAAACACTGGAGTTGCTGATCCTGTTTGTACTTTATAGAAATGCCTTTTCTCGTGAGTCAGGTAAGTATTCAATTTTACTTTTCCCATCAGAAACCAATGACTGCCATTCAGCACTTTATTTAGACAGAAAAATTCGTTTTCACTTTATATCTTGTTTATTTTTAACACAAAACTTTTCCGTGAATTCATTAGATTTTGTTAATAAGCAAAAAAGAAAAAAAAATCTGATGACTTCCTTGTACGGCGTATACCAATTTTTACCAATTTTTGCTGCGTTTCATTTAAACATATTACCTCGAATTCCGTTAGAGATATTTCATTCAATTAATTCAGCTACCTCTTTGCGGCAAGGCAAATACGTAAAAATCCAAAACATCTTCATTAAAGATTGTAAAATACAGACATATATAAAACACCAAATACAGTTAAAAGAGTTTAAAAAAAAATTTACAATTAAAATTAGAGTTTCTACACAAACGCAAAAAGAAGCTATTCGGGTAGCAGGTGAGAAAGCAGAATTTTCTGGGCACAGAACTGAAAGTTTACTTTTGGTGCCACTCGGCAAAAAGAACGGAAGCTGCAGAAACTGAGTTAATTTACTGTTCTGTTAAAAGTTTCAAATGTAAGCAAATATTGGCTTCTTTAAGCTTATTAGCACTTAAATAATTTTTAAATTGTTGATAATTCTACAACTATTGCATGCAGATTAACTAAAGGGATAAAGAACAACATAATGTAATCGCTTTTAAAGCAAAAAAAAATGCAGCATTTACCAACATATAAGAATAAAAAAACAGCTTACCGAGCCGGATAACAGAGTGGGTATATTTAGTACGGCCGATTGCAACGAAAACGAGAGATACACAACTCATGTTATAGCAACTCCATATACAAAATTTCAACGTTCTGAGGACACTCGTTTTTGAGTTAAGCGAGATATATACAGACGTCATGGAAAAAAATCTCTTCTGATTCCATTTTAAACTCATTTGTCAATTCATTTGGGGAAAAATATTTAGTCCGTACCTACATCTGTCCTTTATTCTGTCCGTACGTACAGATGTCACGCAAACATATCGTTCACATCTGTTAGAAAGAGTTAAAAATTGATAATTTTCGCTGAAATGTGGTACCCAAAATTTTTCGTACAAGGATCCTTTATTTCGTACAAGGAAGTAAAAAGCGTTTTAATGAGATTATAAAGTGCAAATTTTCCCGTTTATCACCAGAGCATATAAAATCTAATTTTAAATTCTTACTCCGAAACAGCTGTAACTGCTTTATCGGGATTTCAAATGAGTTGTCGTTTTTATGAAATTTGAAGCTGAACTAGCAGTTTCGCAAGTAAATGCAATTACTAAAACATTTATTGGTAACAAACGACTTTTATTCGTACAAACTCAGAATAATGATCGCTTATAATCTTTTGCTTTCGTGCAAGGTTGTGTTATGAGCAAGCTCATCAGTAATAAAAAAATATAGAGGATTTATCAAGATCAAGGGCATCTGTCAGGAAGGTATACAGAAAGTCGTTCGCTCTTGATGAAAACGATTTTCTATTTAAATTTTCTCGTTAACATTTTGAGATAATCATTTTCAATATAATCGTTATTCAATAATCCTCTCTTATTTTCAATATAATCGGCTAATACTTTTTTGTTTTGACTGAAATTCAGAATAATATATTTATTTTAGAAATGGCTCATAAAATATCTAGAATATAGTACATATCATATAGTACATAAATACAATTTTTAAGAAAAAATATTCGTATCAAGAAACTGTATACCTGTGTAAAAATCGAAATTATTGCACTTAAAAAAAGGTATTTTTAATATATTGTTGCGTGCGTACGGGTTCGTAATAGATTGAATGCACAAGTCCGATAAACAGTTAATAAAATTTATTCTTATCACAAGAAATATAACAAAACGCTTAAACGCTGGCTTTTTCCTCAAAGATATTCGTATAATATCATTATATCCCGCAGTAGTTATATTTTAAACTACTAAATTGTTAAACAGAACGCAATCCAAAACACAGAGACAGCTAATCCGATCTCACCGAGAATTCGCTACAATCAACAACAACTGATTAAACAACTGAACTGAGATGTTTCTCAACGGCTTTTTTAATCGGACAAGAGAAAGTTCTGGTAATTTATGCTTCTCGAGATTTCTGTAAAGCAAAAGAGTAAAATTACGGTTACAGTTAACACAGTAGTCAATTACATTTATTAAATTTAAATAAAAATTACGAGATATCTATTTATTAAATGTTAAATGCGCTTGCTCCTGTATTTTTACTTTTCCGGCGTAATTTTCTCTTAAAATATGTCTCGTGCTGCATTGCACGAGCATATAAAACAATTTTAATTATTATTCTACTAAAAATAGCTAACTAAATACAAAATCCGTAACAATATCAAATTCGAAAGGGAAAAAGCGTTTAGCTGAAAGTAAAAATGAAAAAATGGCATCCTAAGATTGTTTGGTACTTATGTATTAACTCAACTGAGATAGTGCAATTAGGCGATTTTTTTTAACAGTTTAAAATCAATCAATCTCAATAATGGATCAACACAATGGAATTTATGGTTCACAATAAAATGTTTATAAGCTGCTTTCTTCAGTTTCTGTGTTTCATATGCTCGTCAACAATTTGAATAAATAATCGATCCCTCATGCACATGATTAACAATTTTTGCCATGACTGCCTTCTTTGTTCCAAACCTGAGCGAAAAAGAATTCATCAGTTTTTCTGCATAACTCGCCAAACATTTAGTATTGTGAAAAAACGATGCCGGCTTTCTTTTGCCAGTTTGGCTTGGCTTATTTAATTATGGCAAAACACACGAGGGCTATCTGCCTAAGAGGAGAAATGCCTTCGTGGAGGAGGTTCTAAGGAAAACTGGCTCATGGAGCCATGAAACATGGAGCCACGTTACATATGAAGACAGTCATGAAAACACCCATGCATCCAGCCCTTTCGCCGAGATTCGAACTTCGACGGAACTACCAGTTCTTTTCTTCCCAGTACGAACAGATCTTCGTTTACGTTCACAATTTTTCAGGGCCATCTGTTTGCTTATTTGATCATCATATTAGATATAAAGAATACATTCTCTTATAAAAGAGTTACAGTTCCGCCCAACCGGTATAGTTGTTAGCGTCGCTGACTGCCGTTACGAAGGGCCCGGGTTCGAATCCCGGAGAAGCCAAGAATATTTGTAAATGTATAGCGTCGGTGCGGCATGGCGGCACTCTAAATATGCGGCGAGTCGAAAGTCCTCTCGTGTGGTTTGATGGAAGGGGAGAGGAGTGAGAGACCTTCGGACCATTTCCCTTGGGATAGTCTCCATCAAAATTGGGGGCAAAAGAGCTTAATTGCACAGTCACCTGAAAGGTGCTCAAGGGTGTTGCCAACGGCAGGCGTAATCTAGCGCTTCTTGCCATGAGGAATTTCGTGGGCATGGGCTGACTAAGTCAGACAAGTGAGCATACGTAGCAACAACAACAACGTTCCAGTCATTAACTGTATTTTTTGTAAAAGATTATATCTTGGCCCTTTTAGCGTACTCAAGTGGGAGATAAAATGCATCTTTCTAGATCTAATTCATCTTTCTTACTTTTCGCTGAATCAAACGTTCTTAATTTTTTTCTTTTTGGCAAAAAGAAAATACTTTGCAATTTTGCAATTCACAATAACCATAATATTCACAACTGTACTAGTTTACGGTCTCAGGAATTTTCTACATTTATAAAACAACTGACTTTTATTTCTTCCTTTCCTAGATTATGAAGGCCATCGGCACGAAGACCCTTCCAGCAACTTCAAGAAAAACTTCTCGAGCAACTTGATGCGACCTCAGAGATTTACTGCAGGAACATTACTTGGTCTCTTAGTGGCCAGCGTAGTTGTCGTGATTGGTTCCTTCCTAGTGCTTTGGAGACTCTGCTGCGATGTCGAGATGGTGGTCAACAGAGAAGCGCTGATGCCTTTGCAAAGCATTTCACAGTCAGTCACTTCGAAAAGAAAGAGTATATCTCAGCAGCAACTGATCAACCAGAGTTGCTCGAACAACCAGCAGGATGTTGCCTAGTTTTGGTTTTTGCGCAGTAACAGGAATGTTATATGTAAGATAATGGAAATTCGGTATTTGATCATGTCACATATCATGTCGGTTTCCCTCTTAAAGAGACCGATAGGAGAAGAATTAATGAACTTTTTAATTTTATTTTGCCTATGCATCTGGAAAGAAAAAGAAAAATCTGTTTATAAAATAAACGAAGTCTTAAATATAAAAAGGACAAATACAACGATGGCATATCCATTTGAAAGTTAATTATTCGCAAAGTTTAATCTTCGTTTTTATTAAAGAGATGCATCAGTAAAATTTATACATATTTTATTTCTAACATTTGTGTAAATTATTAAGAGTATTGCTGTTAAATAGCTCGTTTTTGCGCTGACAGAAATGTTTAGTTATAATTTGTGAAATAAAGATATAAAATAAAGGTAAAAGTTTTTTGTGAACTTATTCCTTTCATCAGTTTTTTATGGTAATCAAATTAAAGTTTCAATTTGAAAAACAAGTTAAAAAGTTTTATGTGTTTATATGTATGGCAAATAACTAAGCTGCACTAAAAATTTCTTTTAAAATTTACAAGTCGCTTGTATATAGCAATATGTCTTTTGAGGAAGCTTTGCGTTCTTCGTATTTTTGCTTGGCTGTGTTTCCTTAAGTTCAGCGTTTTGTTTTTTAAATTGCAATTTTTGCATACAAAAATTATATATTTTTAAAAAGTACTAAAAGGTTTGGTTCTAAAAGCTCTAAAAATTTTGGTTTACTTTGGTAACATAAACTAAGTCCAGACTCGCATAATAGACTTGGAGTGAATTATCTCTTAGTTTGAAAGGAATCGCAAATTCTTAAAAAGATTTTAAAAGAAATCGTTTTATTAAATGAGAACAAGAACATAAATGCACGTCTCGTGCTTGACAATTCAGCCAACCACTTGTGGCGGCAATGTAATTTAAAGTAGGAATCAGTTTCAAGATTAAAACTAAGTCCAGTAACCAAAGGTTAAACAATTGATTTAAAGCAAAGTTGGCTCAAAAATTCACACCAGCATATCAATTAAAATGTGGGCAATTACAATGCAAAGCCGAAGACTACAATCTTATCTGAGCTGGCAAAACCTAGCAACGTGGCTTCATGAGCCACGTTCATCTTACACGCTCTATCTTACAGTACTGATTATGAAGCTGCTTATGTGGCTCCAAAAAAGGTCTTAATAAGCTAGATAAGAAAATTAAGTCAGTGAGGGCATTTGGCTTTGATGAGCTAGCAGGTGAAACTCTAGGAAGTGAGGTAAAATTGAGGAGACCATTATCTCCTCTACTGCATGTGTGCCAATCTCACGGAAGCGACTAGACAAAAATAACTCAGCGAAAAAAAAAAAAAAAAAAAAAAAAAAAAAAAGAGGAAAAACAACAAGTTGACGTTGGTAGTCAAAGCTAGTATGTGACAAAGTTATGATCTCTAAACATGTGAGTAGCAAATGATCCCATCAAATTGTCTTCAGGAATGATTTGGTACCAAAGAACTTCTGAAAAATTTGCAGCATCACAAGTCCAGTTTTGAAGAAATACTGATTATGTTTCATAATGTGGTCCACTATATGGAATATGATTATCATGGATCAGTTTGTTTGTAATAGGGTAATGTGCATTTACATTTTTTCTTTTCAAAATCTTATTCTGTACTAACTGAAGTTTGTGGAAGTCCGTCTTTGAGGCTGACGCCCAAGCTGCAGATGCATAGCATAAAATTCGCCTCATAATGCATAGGGTATGTCCTATTCTTCTTGTTGAGAGACAGTTCAGAGTAATTTCCAAGGAGCACAGAAAGCTAATTGGTGTTACCACAGGCTTTTCCTATAACGTGCTTAACACGATAAATTGATGTGAGTCTTTGGTTAATGATAACCCCACAGATAACTTACAGTATTTACATGATTCACAAATTTCCCTAATAAGTAGAGGTTGTTCAATGCTATGATCCGAATCTTACGTCTCCTTACCAATAGGAGCTTAGACTTTGAGCCATTTATACAGATTCACCATTTCCTGCAACAGTCCTCAATTTCCTGGAGTTTGAATATGGCATTATTAAGACTTTATCTGGTAATCTAACAACCTCAACTTAAATACAATTAACGTGATTTGCGTTCTGGTACGAAAACGGAATTGCATTATATTAATCTAACCAGTAATTAGATCTAAATCCTAATTACTGGTTAGATTAATATAATGCAGCCTTACAAAAATATTATATTTTTTATGTATTTTTCTTTTATATTTATTTCCTGGGGTTTGAGTGGCTACTAGGCACATCGGCAAGTGATGGATAGCAGGATGTGCTGTATTATCTGTCACAATAGCTCCGAAGAATAAACAAGAAGCCGCGAACCCTTTTCGTAACCGTGGTGCTATGCGATCCCGTACCTAAGGTGAATGACACTGCGGTTGTAGTGTCTTAACGGAGCCTCTTGTCTTAACCCAGCAACAGGCAATAAAGGGTGGACCTTTTTTATCCTGTACTTTCTTTTCTAGTTTATATATGGCTGAAAATGAAATTATAACTAGAAATTCTGCTTTTGCATGCAAAACCTCTGAGGTAGACCTTTCTTCTCAAAACAAGAAAACCCAAAAGAAATCAATCGAAGGAACAAAAATGAATCCTTCATCAAACGAGGTAGAAATGGCCTCTACTTTCAAGTTACTCAACATCTGGAGAAGGACAGGAAGCTATTAAAACATGACTGTTTCTCTAGATAAAACGAAAATCAAAAAGAGAATGTCCGGAGAAAAAAAAAATAAATAAACCTTGCTCCAGAACTAAAAAAGGCAATCTCAAAGGATGAAGCAGAGGTCAAGATAGCTGTACTCATCAAGGGGCATCCTGAAAAACGTTTAACAGAGGAAGACGCTACTGAAAATGAACTTCTCCTAACGTTAACTACTTTAGGTGTTCTCAGTACTAAAGAGCTAACCCTGAGCTCTATTAAGGGACTGTCAGATTTTATAAACAAACTAGGCGGCCCAAGTAGATGGAGCTAGGAGACACTGGGTTTGGTGCGTTTGGCACAAAATGTTATTTAGCGGAGATGCCTTATACCTGACAAACTCAACCTTAGAAGAAGATTCATTTTATATGATTTTTTCTTTAATACATGATATAGCTTTAGAGCAATAGCTAATTAATTTTCGACTTTACAGTATAAATAAATTTTGCACTGAATGGAATCTTCATTATGCTGATCAACTGCCCATTCGTATTCTTTTCCATATCCACCTCGCGATCATCACTGACGCTCTTTGAAATTTCATCGACCACCACGAGTCAGTATCAACTTTTCAAATTCAGTGTCATAAATGCCTTTGACATTTACACTTAGGCAAAAGAACACTAATAACAGATAGGTTAGGTTATTTCAACATGAGAAAACACACAAAGGTTCTCTGCCTGAGAGGCACATTCGGATAAGATTTTCTAAAGGAAACTGTCTACACATAGAAAAAATCACGAAAATCATCCATACAGCAAATCCATTCGCCTAAAATCGAGTCCGGATCAAACTACTAGTATTCAGCGATCTTAACTACTCAGCCAATGAAGGGCGTTAATAGCAGATAAAATGATTCTCTGCATTTCAGAACACAACATTAAGCGGCATTTTATTCGTCAGAAGTAAAATGAATTCGTCTTTTCCATTTAATAAAACTAATGACGAGCTTTCAAGTTCTATAAATTTACAATTAAAATAACTTTTGCAGATGGTAAGAGTTATATTTTGCCGGAATGGCAGCATTAGAATGCTCTGAAGAAACGATAACAAAATTTTACTAAGAACCTTGTTTAAGATAGAATGGCTACATTTTTGTGCTTTTTAAAGCACAGTTTTAAAAGGCCAGCTTGCGTATTTGCACATTTTTAAGATGAGGAGGGTTCATCATTCCATTACTAATACCCAACATTTAAAAAATATGCATGTCTGCTAGCTCATGTAACTTATATTTAGAAAGTATTTTACATTTCATCTTTATGAAAAGCGTAAGAAACTATTCAAAATCCTTCATTGTAAAAATTTATTCAAGCATGTTTTTCCGAAGAAGCAGATTGTTCCGAAATCACAATGGAACATTATAGCCAAACAGCAGTAAATAATAGAATACAATGGAATGCCTTTAGGATAATGGTTTTGCCTGTACATTCTGAGACACTTTTTTCGTTGAACGAAAAAGGAGTGAAAAACTATTATAAAAGAAATATTTCCTAACTTTATGAAGCAGAATTAACAAAGTTTGTTTTTTAATTGTATCCTTAGAGATATAATGGAATCATGTGAAATGCTTTTGCTAAATCATGTTAAAAGGGAAATGAGAGTACGTTAATATTTTTATATCGCCTGCAGTTAATAGAAGGCTTATAGAATTTTTGGTCATTCTTTAAGATAAAATTTAGTTTAAAGTTTCACCAAAAGAAGGCGATTGTCGTATCATATACGGGAAAAGCGGGGGGGGGGGGATTATGATTATATAATATTATGCATTTGTATATTATGCATTTGTATTTGTGAACATTTGCAATAATATTAATAATGCAGCATTTCATGATGAGTTGCAGACCTTCTTTTAAAGATTTAAATTTGCTCGTTTTCGCGCTATTAATTGTAAAGCGCCATTTTTCCGTGAAAATTTGAACTAAAATGTATCTTGTGCAGGAAAAAAATTGCATATTTTGAAGTATTTTGTGTTCAAACTTCAATCTGATGTTTTAATTTGTTAATATGGTACGATTTTTAAAACTTCCAAAATTTTGGAACATTCTGTATGTAGACAAAGTACCTTAACACACACAGATACATATTTAGATACGTAAAGAAATTTTCTGGGCTAAAATACTGCCCAAATTGCATTGTCTCTAACAGGATTTCTCAAACTATTGTACATGTACCGCTAATGGTACATTATATTACTTTTGTGGTAAAATTTTTAACTCAAAATATTTAAATGAATGCAAAATGGCTTTTAGTACATAGATTGGCAGATGATAGTATTTTTATGCTTTATTCTTATTTATGTGGCACAAAATTTAAGAAGTTAGAGAGCTTCTGATCCATACCAACCGAAAACCACGTGAAATTTTAAGAACTTTCGTTATTGGTCACATGAACAGAGATTTTGCATCGGAAAATATATCGATACCTAGAGTTAATAGAATGAAATTTAAAATACTTTTTTATCTTCGAAGGAAAAGGTGGTAGAATAAAAATTTAATGTACTATAAGGTATTTTTTCCCTCCTTCCAGCATGTCTATCGTGGTGTAGTGGTACTCGGCGCGAATTCGAGAGGTCCAGGTTCGAGTCCCGGAGAGGGCATTTCTCATTTTTCATACATTCTGCTTTAAAACAACCTAATGGCTCTACAATGCATATATTTAAAATTTATTAGTAAAATTTCACAAAAA